TTTAGTATAGGAAGGGTCATCCAAAAGTACTGATGTCGTTTCCAGCACCATCAGCATCGCGTGCCAGAACATTAAATGATGATCTATCATCCCGGGACGTACGTGTAATCAGTTTGTTATTCGATGTCACCTGTTTTGACGGTAACAAACGAGAGCCGCCGTAGACGGTTGTATAATAGTGATGAATTAGACACTTTACGTATGACTGACCTCGACATCAGGATAACATTATTGTGAATTTCCACAAACACATTCCTCTTCCGCCTCTCTCTCCATCTCTGCCAAAATGGTCCTAGGGGTACCATAGTCTGCCAGCGAAGTAATGAGTAGGGTAAGTATTATCAGGGGAAATGTCTGTTTTGTGAATTAGGTAAAATATTACCCATTTCGCGCAATTATCAAGTTTTCAACTGGTATAAAGTACATTGCACGACAGACTGCGTAACACAGGGACTATTAGGTAAAGTGGTGCTTTGTTGTGTAGACATTAGAGGGGTAGATCACCGAGAGTACATAACGTCTCATCCATTATTGACAATAACACGCACAGCAGCAGCGACACATTCATAATTTTGACATAATGTGATATCGGGGATATAACAAGAATTCCACCATTACACTATCAGGATCGTGTATTTTAATACATGTATTACTGAACCTGTCCCTGGCGAGTACATTGCTCACACGCATGCTGTTGTGTTATTAATTTTTTTTTATTTATTTTTAAGTTAAATCACTTAATGGGAGAATTCGAAAAGTTTGTCAGATACTCTCTTGGTTAGGGAAAACTATCAAAATGACATTTGGTAAACCGTCCATTTTTATTTTCTCTTACTTAATCACAAAACAATATCCGGTTATCATTATCCGGATTCAGAGTAACCTGCCCTTAGACCAACAAAATGACATTTTGTAACCCGTCCATTTTTATTTTCTCCTACTTAATCACAAAACAACATCCGGTTATCATTATCCGAATTCAAAGTTTCCTGCCCTTAGACCAATATGACCAGACATCTCAAGGCCAGTATAAGCATAGGATAGTGTGGGAGATAAATCGACTCCATGGTAGTTTTAGTTGCAAGACACCGTCAATACAAAACATCGACCCTCATGTTTTGGAAATTATAAAAGGACACAGGAATGTTGTAATCCCTGTTCTGTAATCAAGACTCAACAGGTTTTAACTGTATTGTTTATTGAATAAAGATATTTGCAACTCGGTAGTTTTGACTATAAAGGGGTTTCTTTAAAGAAAGTCCGGATTAAAAATAGTTCACTATAGTGTTGTCCAGACTTAAAAGGTTTCAGTTCAGAGGGAAAGTTTATTGATTTTTGTGCCAAACCATGACATAATATTTTCGCTTCTCTCTGATATTCTTTTTCTTTCTGATTGTGTATCTGTCGGCCCTTCTACTTAATATGATGTTATAATAGTGTGACCGGGTGATGCCTCACTCGGCCCCTCTGGTTAGTTTGTTGTTATAATAATGTGCGGGGTGATGTCTCCCTTGGCCCCTCTGGTTAGTCGATTGTTATAATAATGTGACCGGGTGATGTCTCCCTCGACCCTTCTGGTTAGTCGGTTGTTATAATAATGTGACCGGGTGATGTCTCCCTCGACCCCTCTGGTTAGTCGGTTGTTATAATAATGTGACCGGGTGATGTCTCCCTCGACCTTTCTGGTTAGTCGGTTGTTATAATAATGTGACCGGGCGATGTCTCCCTCGACCCCTCTGGTTAGTCGGTTGTTATAATAATGTGACCGGGTGATGTCTCCCTCGGCCCCTCTGGTTAGTCGGTTGTTATAATAATGTGACCGGGTGATGTCATCCTCGGCCCCTCTGGTTAGTCGGTTGTTATAATAGTGTGACCGGGTGATGTCACCCTCGACCCCTCTGGTTAGTCGGTTGTTATAATAGTGGGACCGGGTTATGTCTCCCTCGACCCCTCTGGTTAGTCGGTTGTTATAATAGTGTGACCGGGTGATGTCACATTCGACCTTTCTGGTTAGTCTGTTATAATAATGTGACCGGGTGATGTCATCCTCGACCCCTCTGGTAAGTCTGTTGTTATAATAATGTGACCGGGTTATGTCTCCCTTGGCCCCTCTGATTAGTCTGTTTTTATAATTGTGTGACGGGGTGAAGTCTCCCTTGGCCCCTCTGGTTAGTCTGCTGTTATTATAATGTGACCGGGTGATGTCTCCCTCGGCCCCTCTGGTTAGTCTGCTGTTATTATGATGTGACCGGGTGATGTCACCCTCGGCCCCTCTGAGTAGTCTGTTGTTATAATAATGTGACCGGATGATGTCACCCACGGCCCCTCTGAATAGTCTGTTGTTATAATAGTGTGATCGGATGATGTCTCCCTCGGCCCAACTGGTTTGTCTGTTGTTGTTATGATGTGACGGGGTGATGTCTCCCTGGGCCCCACTGGTTAGTCTGTTGTTATTATGATGTGTTGGGAAGATGTCTCCCTGGGCCCCTCCGATTAGTCTGTAGTTATAATAATGTGACCGGGTTATGTCACCCTCGACCCCTCTGGTTAGTCTGTTGTTATAATAGTGGGACCGGGTTATGTCTCCCTTGGCCCTTCCGATTAGTCTGTAGTTATAATAGTGTGGTCGGGTGATGTCTCCCTCGGCCTGTTGTTATAATAGTGGGACCGGATTATGTCTCCCTTGGCCCCTCTGGTTAGTCTGTTGTTATAATAATGTGACCGGGTTATGTCTTCCTTGGCCCCTCTGGTAGGTTTGTTCTGAGACCAGGTGTTCATGTTACCGGGCGGTGATTTCCTAGACCCTTCCGGTAAGTCCGTATTTCGGTTTATGATAATGTAACCGGGTGTTGTCTCCCTTGGTCCCTTAGGTTAGTCTGTATTTATGACCTGGTGATATCTCCATGCCCTCTGGAACGTCTGGTGTTATGACAAAACAGCATGAGTTGTGTCTCCATAAAGACCTCTGATTTGTCTGTTGCTATGGAACAACAGCTTAGCCAGGAAAAAGTTGGAACTTGTAATAAAACATATGAAATGTATATCAGGAATCCTGTCGACGAAAGGCCCTTAAACTATAATGGAACTGCTGTTCACGACACCAATCCTGACGTCCTACTTTTCTGTTACAAAAGTTCAGGATTCATACAAAACTGCAACATTATGATATTGTTTTCGAAGATGTTAACGTGACATTTCTTGGTCTACATTCTTCCCAAAATGTGTCAACTGGGCGCTGCCATCTTGATGTTTAACTATGAATCGGTGCTGACAATCTCGATTCGGATAGCACCCCAACCACACCGCCACACCGGTCCAACCTCTCGATCATCTCAAAACCGCGGGTTAGACACTAAGGAACCTCAGCCTAAGGGTCTCGAGTTTCTGGCATACCTTCATCGTGAAGAGTATTTTTTTCTCCAATCCTATAAAAGATGTGTTCTAAAGCAATTTATCTTTATTCACATTTGCAATCTGTTTCCTCCGTGGTTTGTAAGTATCCTACCCTATAGGTAACTGATGGTGACTATAATTATAATTTATTTTAATTATTTCAATATTCCTTTGAACTTACATAGATAGAGGGACAGATGGACGTGATTTCAATATTCAAGAATAAACTGGTACATGTAGTGTTTTGAGTTTTATTGCGTTTTATTGATCATGTGATACCATAAACTATAATGCAATTGTCGCACAAACCGTGCTACCATTTTACACGTCTGCCAAAATTAATGACATGATCGTATTGTGAGGTGGTTTATTTTTTCCAGAACAATTTCTAGTGTGAACTGTTCCTTGTCTAAGTACAGAATGTAGATCAAGAAAGATGTCTAAGTTCATAGCAAAAACGGGAATGCACATGATAAGTACAGGATAAGACAGGGTCATTACGTCATGACATCATATACATATAACACATACATCATTGTATAGTACATTTTAATTTTTATTCATGTTTCAACTATCTTAAACACAAGTTGTTTTGTTGTATTTGTGTCAGATTTCCCAGCACTAGACAAATACACACCCTGTCTTTCCGTCATCTTTGTCCCTGTTACGCTCTGTTAATATCGCGCCAAAATAACTTCACCCAGAGCTGGTATAGTATAATTTCAATATTCCGAACGTGTGTTCTGCAGACAAACATTTGCTTTTTGAATTACAAAAGAGGATCGTTATTCCGGAGGTTTTGTCTGAATTCGAAATACCCGGATGAAAGATGTCAAGGAGTCAGTGGAATTATTTTGATAAAGTACTTTTACAATGTTTAATATTTAAAAAAGTACTGTATAGCAGAACACAGTTCTAGTTGATCGTTTTAGAGATTTTCGGGTGAAGGGCACATCTGGATTAACGAATTTCGACCCCATTGTTATTGCTTTCCAATAAATGCCATGCTTTCAGGTGCACAGGGTTATACTAAGGTGATGAACATGATCCGTGATCAACAAATGTCTGGAAATAAATTAACGATGATATTACACGAAAATATGAATGGAAATGCAAAAACAGAACGAGAAACTGGCTGTATGTTACACGTATACATTATATACTCTATACACAAACAAGAACACTGTCTCCCTTTGGTTAGTTAAGATCTTATACATTGATATAGGATCACCTTTATCGGAGAGTGGGCACAATAGACCAGTGAAATTATATACACGTTTTTGTAGACTGGCCTATATAAACCTTTGTACGGGTGACAATAGTCACTCATCTTTAGTCTAATTATCGTTTTATACTTAAGATAGTACATCCCTCTAAATAGGCCGGGAACGGATCGTTCGACTTAAAAAAAAAGCGAAAAAGATTCAGAAGAAATCCGCACCGCCGACAAAAGTTCATAGAGATATTAATCGCTTCACTTACTGTATTATTTTTATATGTAAGAGGGATCAGAGTAGGTCATGTGACTGACATACAATTAAACAAGTGCTCTAACGTCCTGTACTTACGGTAACAAGGAGATCTGGAGTGGCGTCTTTGGTTACTTATTGGCAAGGACAGGTGACCTTGGGAAATGAACAGCGCACATCACTTTATACCAAACTGTTGTACTTTAGCGAACGCTGATTAAAACTTGTACAATATTGGAAATGAAGATTCACATATTAAGTGTATTTATAGAATAAATTGAACTAAATTGGAATAAAGTTAAGATTGGAATAAAGTTATGAGAATTGATCACTTTATTAGCTGATTGGCGATATTTACGTGGTACAATCTACAGAGATAATAAAATCATGTGGTCCACAAGTTGGTGTTTTGTGTTAAATAAAATACAATTTTAAAATATTTTAAAAAAGTAAGAAAAATCGACAATACCGAATAAGACAAGGAAAATATCATAGTTTTGTTGAATAACATCAACATATGACATCACATTATACAACTATATCATCAATAATAAATAATATCCAAAAGTCGAACGTCATTGTTAACATAAGGTCGCGTGTGCACGTGACAATAAATATATACATCCCCCTTAAGTATATACACACGGCTACTCCATAGTGCAGGGTATATAACGGCTTCTTGTATCATTCTCTTAACACTTTGTCACGTATTTACATTTAATGTTCAAAATATACAATGAATGGGTAAAAAGAAGAGACAGTGTGTAGACAATCGGACATAAATACGGTATGAATTGACACCTGACACTTCGTCAGTATACCAAACGTCTATGTCGCGATAGTCCGTTAATAAGTTAAGTAGAACTACAATAACATTCTACAACATGATAACATAATTTGCCATTTCATTTCTTATAGTGTGGTTCCATATATATAACTCTTAAATTTTCCACTTGGGTTTAATTATGTAACGGTCACATCATGTGACTGTCCAGTCCCCATCAGCACGCCAATGGCCAAAGTTTTAAATAGGGCAATGTAATCACATGTAGATATCATATTGTTGTGATTTCAATATTGCTGTCACGTGTTTTATATCAAACGTCTAAAATAGGTCACTGTGACTCCGGTCAGAACCATCAACAAACACATCTGCATGAAAATGAGCTTTTATACAGTACAGCACCATGTTACTCAAATTTTACGACACTGGCGCGGAAACATAAAGTGAGTACTTAGGTTTGCGTAGTAATACACCACGGGCACAGCGTCCATTGGTATGTAGTTAGCACCTTGTAGATATTTTATTCCACAAATGGACGACATTAATAACGTTAGGTTATGGAAGAAATTGTAATTAATCAAATCCGATTGTGACCGGAAATCACAAACTTGGTCCTTCCCAGACGTCGAATAGTCCGCTCAAAACAGGAAGTCAGTATAAGCAGTTAAGCAAACAGGAAGTATGTATATCCAAGTAAGACACACATGAATAACAGGAAGCTAGACTTTCTCTTCCGAGTATCACATATCGCCCAAACTGACACATGTATGAGTATTCTATGGTTTCTTGTCTTGTGAGTTTGGGCATCCTCAGTATATAATCCAGATATTTTAGTGTACGTGAGCAGATTCAGAACAACAGTCTCCTTCTCACAACCTGTTTTATACAATATCTTTGTTAAACGAGTCCGTTGCAATGTTCTCGTCATCTGCACATCAGATGTACACACGTGTACACTATTGCATTGCTAATGACTAGGTGACGCGATTAGCATAGAAAAGATGACGTCACAGAACTCATGCTCTTGGCGATACCTTGTTGTGTGCAGTAAAGTCTGACGCTGGCATGACCATCATCTGCGCGTTCTTGAGTGAGGAATATTTGTGTAGGCTGTTCCAATGTATGCCATTTTGTCTGAAGAAATTGTTGTGAAATCCTTTCTGATAATAGCGTCCATTGAGGTTTGAGTCGAAACAATCGTTATACCACCAGCCTCCACGGTAATGCATTGCACAGTTGTCAAACGGGCGGCGATCATTGTCCGTATCGTAGGTACTAAACCGAACGCCATCGTGGTTCTCTCGAGTTGACGTCATCGAGTCACCGGCGGTTCCATGGTAACCATTCACGTGAAGCCTGTAGTCATTTGTTTCGTCTTCAATACGGAAAAAGTCGTAAATGGCGTGGTACTTACTTCCGTTCCACTGTTCCATCTCCACTCGAAGTTTAAATTTACCTGTAACGAAAAGAAATAATTTTACAGTTCGTTTAAAAAAACTCACTAAAATGTGAGGGGAGCCTGAAGTTGGTTCCTAGTTCCTAGTTCCGTTTATGATAAACGTAACTAGGGTCTAGATACCAGTTCCCATTATGTTAAACGGAACTAGGGTCTGGAACCAACTTCAGGCTCCCAAATGTGTGTAATTAATTATAGCAGGCATTGATATGGCTGTCCCTCTATGTGGATATTAGAGCAGTCTCTAGGACAATTTCCGTTACGTGTAATTTATCAATCTCACTCAACAAAATACATTTACTCAAGTATGTATCTTTATCAACGTTTAAACCAACGTGTATCGTTAATATTTTATATTGATTTAAATCTAAACTTTCGTAACAAGTATCGGCCGAGTCAACAGTGTCAGGGCTACACCTCGACACACAGAATCGTGTTTACTGACTTCAACGCCCTCATTAATCACAGCTGAGAGACAAACATTAAACACAAATACACCATTATACCAGCGAAAATAAAATTGTATAATAAAAATCTAAGTGTTAGTTTGTTCAGTAGTAAATTACGTGACCTCTTCAACACTGAGGTACGCATACCTGTGTAAAAAGTAGACAGACGTTATCAATTAAATGTTTATCTTCTGTTCGTGCAATATTGTTGAACAGAATTCGTAGATAGAGAGCCCGATTTTATAGCATATAAAGGACGGCGGCCGTGCGTCACCATTCCGTGCCCAGTCACATGAGGAGGCTAATGGTACACTATTGACGGGTAGGATATACTATTCTTTGTAATTCTGTTGTGTTGGCTACAAAAAGGCTACTTGTTTGAATGTATCCAGCCCTATATATTTAAAAACATATAAATTTTGTAAGAAAATGTCGATAGTTTAGTTTAGTTAATTTATCTAATGTTTTGTTGATTGCAGGCATGTGACGTAAAACAGGTGCTGTAAGACCTATATTCTAAACAGCGCCATGTACACCAGCCGCTACCGAGGCGCCCCCTACTCCTTCCGGGATACACACCAAAATCGGGTGGAGCTCAATGTCCTAAAACTTGATGCGGACGGAAACAGTGTGTACGACGATGACATTGACCCCGACATTTGCCGATGTTTCCCGCGCACCAGTCAGAAGACCATTCCCTCTATGTTATATGATCATATAAATTGCCCACACGTGGAACACAGACACATCCAGCCCGCACAACAATATGTATTTACCTACCCCTGGTCGGCCAGTAGTGGCAACGGCCGTCAGAGGGCGCGCCGTGACTTTGATCAGGAGTCGGGACTAAGTGTGATAGGGGAGGACGATGACGAGTGGCAGAACAATGTCACGCGCACTGCCCCTCCTTTTGCCACGCACTCTCCGGCCCCAGCACGGGCCCCGTACAGTGCCCCCGTGCCGGCGGAAAATATTCCACAGGGCAAATATAGACCAATCCAAGGAACAGATTTTCGCCAATTTGGATCGGCGCCATCTCTTACCGGATTTTCAGCAAAGAGACAGACGCATGTGGCAAACCGGAAGTCGAATATCCAGCAAGCGGAACCTTCTACTCCTTTTATAGACAAAAGAGAACGAGGCGGGGGAATACAAGATAAACCTCGTCACTTCCAAGGACATTATATGGATCAGAGTAAGTTATAAAAATATAAGTATCATAGTATTTTATTTTAAAGTGACATTTGTGGTGTTGTTTTAAACTGTTCTGACTGTTTCCTAACGGTACACACAATATTAATTATTACAGGCATAATACGTATTTGTTCAACCCACTTCCTACATTTCTTTATGAATTTTCAATTTGCAGATTATTAATCTCAGTTGATACTCCGGGGTTTTGATGTATCCAAGTGGAAGGTACATCTTTACCATAGGTCAAGCTTCCCATTGGCATTAGTGTTGAAAAAATCTTTACGATAATTTAAAAATAGGCAATATGTTTTCGCAACATATGTGAAGACCATTTATTTCACGTTTTATTATAAGCAAACACGTATGCAGATGTTTAAAATGATCGTAATTCGTTTTTTTATATATTTTTTTATTCCATTTCAGAAGACGGTCGGGTATACAACTTTAACGTGAAGTATGGTAAAAGGGACATACAAGCTACACGAGAACACGATAACACCTATCGATAAAACCACAACCAAAGGGGAGATAAATCTCACATTAGATCACAGTAATTTGCAAGTCGGATAATATGAAAAGTATTAAAAACCATTAAGTTCTTTAATGCTTTAAGAATGTGAACAAAAAGAATTTGTGTAGATAACTATTTATAAGTAGTGACTGTATAGAGAATGTGTTCATCTTGCCAATTGTTACACAGATACAGTTATATCACAAACAAGCCTTATAGATACATATCTATTTAAAGTGGCTGTGTACCCCAAAATAAATTATGGTTCTTTGTTATCACTTCCAGAATTATAGATAAATAGATTTTGCTTTTGAATTATGCAACATGTTATGTGTATGTACGTGGAGTCTAGATACAATCGTTTTAAATGTTGGGATACTGATTTAGCTGTAAGGGCTGGCGATATAGTTGAGCCAGACTTGATCACGTACAAAGTAGTTAAATTAACGTTGTTTAAATTTATCTCCTATTTGAAGTGTACACCTATGTTTCCCCAGATTCCGACACGAACGGCGTATGAATCTACACGGGAAGTGTTGTTCAGACACGCTGGTAATGGTTCGTTATCTAAATACGCTAGATACCGGTACTATTTTAGTTCTGTATCACTACGCGCTGTACCGGAAGTCGGCCATGTTTTATGTGTAGCTTACTATTTTGTTACAGTAACTGTTTTATTGTTGCTATTTTCAAAAAAAAACAACGCATGTTGTGTAGTTCAATAAGCAAAAAACATGGATAAACAAACTGGAGCTACCAATGCTACTAGATTTTATGTCTGGTAAGCTCTTTCAGTGACATTTTGTGTCAGTGAGGCGTCACTCATCACAACTATTAACACAGCTATCCTTGGAAATAACCATGTATTTCCAATCACGAACTTTATTATTTATGTAATGTATTGCAATAAAGCATTAAAATAGAAGGCAGATGTGTTGTCTGTATGTGCCTTTTTTACCTATATGTAGCGCTATCGAGACTCAAGAGGTTTTGTTGGGTTGGATCTCGTGATGACATTGGTTCACATATTTGTCTATCTGCCCATATATGTTTTATTTCGGCCATTTTTCTGACTACGTACCTTGGCTGCTCAGACGATGAATATTGTCATTCCCTATCCAGAACTCGCCAGATAAGCTCCCGAAACCGTTTTTGTACTCCGTCCAATTCCGGTAGAAATCCACTGCCCCGTCCAGTCGGCGCTGTATCACTGTCCAGCCTGTACGAATAGAGCATCGGAAAGGTCAAAGGTGATATGAATATCAACCAGGTGTTAACACTACCAAGCTTGCTTATCTTTGTTTATTGACTCTAATACCTGTTGTCATATTTGGAGAAGAACTTCAAAAACGAACGTCTACGCAATAGCCTGTAAACAATTTCTACAAACGTAAAATCGTAACACGACAAGGGAGACAACCGTTCTAAATAAGTTTAAGAATTAACTGCTACCTGTTTTATACATTATTTGATTCTTCATACAGGAATAATCTAATCAGGGTTAAAGGTATATTTTGTTCGTATTAAAGATATTTGAGACATACCTCCGTCCTCCCTGGCTTTACACAGTGCCTTGTACGGGGCGGGGGCTCTCTCTGGCTGGATCATGATGTAGTAATCGCCCTCATAACGTAGTCCACCACTCCGGTACACGTCATGACAATCTGTAACACAGCAACACATCAGATTGTTTACAATTACCACACGGTGTAACTGTGACAGTAATACCAAACATACAGAACGTCGTTACCATGACAACATTGAATATCAGATACACAAACTATGAAAAACGTTTTCTTTGTAACTATGACATTACTTTAGAATAACTATGGCTACGGAAACTATACAATGATACATGTATATTGTTATTGAACTCGCTGATTAACGACCTCATCGACTATAGCTTTCATTTTATTGGTAAATAGCGATCATTTATTTTCATTTCCCCTTCAGACGTCGGAACCTGTTGCAGTAGTAAAGTAATACGATTACTCTGCAGTTGCGTTAAATGAATTATGAACTGCTTTTAGATTAGCTGGCAAGACACATCTTCAAGCTCGTTGTTTTTTTACTTGTATAATTTTAATTTCCGACACTGCAGACAGGTGTGGGAGTAATATAGTCTCATACAAAAACTCCCGATCCTTATCAAACCGCGGTAAAATGAGGCTGTTTAACGGGAGTTTATATTTGGAAAACGATATTTGACGATGTTTTTGCGAAAGAATCTCATAAACTTCACACCTTCCTCAGATTACATAGCCTCTATTTCTGCGATACTGCTTGTTTATTGGAAAAAAATCACACAAATTTAATTCAGCATTCAGAAGTTTTATAGAAACTTTCTCTGCATAATGAAACAACCTAACTGTAACTCCAAAGTTCTCTCTCGGCAAGGCTGATAGAGCTGATAGAACCGCCACCAGTGCTGGCTATACACTTTATATGTGTTAATGTCTTTAAGAATATAGCGATTCTGTTATCACCGTTATAAATATAATCAATACAAAATACGTTACAACATATGTCGGCAACAAAACAAACCGTTACTGGTGACGCGAATATTTTGAATTATCTAGTTCGGTTCTGTGAACAACTCTTTTCAAGTTATCCTACTAACCTACATACAACGGGAGGTAATTCGATCGAATCGCATTGCAATACATGGTCATACTGTACTCCAGATTACGTGCACCTCGCCATGCACATTGACCGACTACACGCCGGTGCAATATCACTTTGATTACGCTTCATTGACAGAGTTTCTAAACAATTAAGTTTGTTTATGCCGGGAAAACATAATGTGAACAAGCGCTTTATCAACCAAGACCAGCTTTATTCACAATAACCTGGAGCGGCTATTCCATCACGTTGACACGCGCCAATGTGAGATGATCACAGAAAAGTAGAAATAAACAACTTGTGGATCTGGCAAGCTGATGAGAATCAAGCAACTCCAGGGTAATTGAGTTGTGAGGAAGGCGACTGGAACTTGGCCAGAGACTCGAGGAGGCGGTAATAGGCCTAACAGATGTTGGCCCAGGGTGCCTGGCTGGGCCACCATTCTCTATTGTGACGTACCGTTGTCTTTAAGGATTACAAGCTCTGGGGTAATAAGTTAATGAGATGCAATTATTTTCACAGCTTCGTTAGTGTAACGAAATGATAAACAATAGCGTTACAGTATTATGTCACCATATTATTACACATACATACATGATTTTACACTGGGTTCTCTCCCTTTATCTTACATCGTTCAGTAGCCAACTCCTGTTATAAAATCGTGTCTTTTCTGGTCTAACAACGAAATGACCATAATATGTAAGATCGCTGAAATTTTTGACCGGACGATACAATGCTGAAAAGACTAAAAATATCAATAAATATAGAAAAATCTAATCAATGACTAAATCGACTGAGTGGACCTTGATTAATAGTTGTTTTAACAGGAATGTTTTTTTTTCTACTGTGACGTTATGGTTCGTGGCAATTGTTTACACTATCGCATATAGGAAATGTAAGATTTTCCAACAGAAACTTGTTTTTTTCGGATAAAACATGAACGTTGTCATGTAAGAAAATATGCCCGTAAAGTCGTGATGGTTGATTGTCATGTTTATTTAACTTAGTTGTGAATTTCTAAATTGTAAAGACAAATTGTATCCTATGCCGGAAATACTCTTTATTAAACACACCCGGTCTTTATACAATTTGAAGATAATTGAATAGACACGATAACCACCCACTCCTGGTAGACGCTGTAGGAGAACCGCAGGGGATTGCACCCCGACCCCTCCCCAGCTATTTTTAGTAAAGTTGTTTGAGATACGGAAGGTTCTCATCGTCAATATTTTAAATTCTGATGTGATTTTGAAATTTGATATTTGTAAAATTTGAAGGAGGCCATTGTTAGGCCTAAACCGAACGTGATCCTGTCCGTCGCCTATCTAAGCGCGGAGGAGCTATCTGATTGAACCATACGGGTGATTATTTCATATTTCATCACTAGTGCTATTTTTATAGTAAATATTATGGTAACCGCTTAAAAGTCCCGTACTTTGATTTCTATGTATATAGATTCAGTTCATTTTGATAAAATAAATATTTAGTTGGGTTTTTTTGTCAAAATAAAATTCACCGAAATACATATGAAAGAAAACCTTTCAATATATGACCATTCAAAACAGAGGGCAAGAAAAAGTGATTCAAAAATATGATTCATTTCATCGCCTTATTTATCCCCTAATCTGTATAATGAATGAAATATATGTTGTCATGACCACAATAAATCTCGCCTCGTTGTCGGCTTCGCTATCGTTATCTACCCAGCCACTGAAACTCGTAATCGTCAACCGGGGACCACCTGTTCAAAGTACTGTCAGCTTTACAAAAAACGTTATTACTATTTTATTAGAAATAAAGATTACTCTTTAATGTACAACATTATAATTCAAAATATTTATAACACTTTAACACAAAACGCATCAGAATTTAGGCGTCATTGGCAATTATTTAACATTTGCATTTCAACTTCCACGTTTTTTAGTGCTGTTTTGCAACCTTTGCAGCTAACCATACTTTAATATCGGGCACCATAGATGGATCGAGTGTACAGTACTGATAAATAAAGTGCATAAAACAGACGGTGATGTTATTTATGTATAGATAATTAGGTCTTGATGATTAAATGGTGAAATTTGAATACCTTGTGGTTTCAAATAAAACTTCATGAAAGGTCGGTAAGGTCGTGAGTTTACTTTTCGACATGGCATTACACTCGGTGTTACGTTGTGTGGCATCAGAGGCTGGTACACGTACATTAAATAAAAACCTAGGGCCCTATTAATGAAACCGTGCCCGTGCTCACAATCTCTGCTCAAACCAACTTTCTTGTAACTCGCTAAAATCATGTCAAACGATCAAAAGTCAAACATAAACATTGAAAACAGTATTCTGCTTTAATTCGCTTCAATGTTTTCCCAAATCATTGACCAAATAAGACTGTCTTGAGCATGAGAACGGTTTCATGAATACGGGCCCTGGTATTACAGGAAGGTGTCCTACGGTTGATAAAACCTAAGTGATTTCGACGGAGCAGATTTTTTTCATTAGATTCTGTTGTAATATATCACTATAATGTAAGTGTTGACCTTACCCATTTCCCTTTTATAACGCAGTGCACTAAAGCTGAAATTAACTTTAAGAAATGGACACCAATGTAACGTGTTGAATCGACCGACTTGTGTTAGGATATCTGTGTTCTTGAATGGTATCTAATATCGATGGGTAAAGGAACTGTAAAAAATTCGCATTACACAATGTATCATATCAACTAATTCATTGATATAAAGAGGAGATTCCTTTTCCTAGGAACCCTAAGATTATACATTAAGTCCACTGGATACTCCAAAATATCGCCCTTTGTGACTATCATGGTTAGTCAGCAGTCACTGGCCCTCCATACACCCTTCAGTGCCGACACAATGGCGGCCTTGCTAAGTTGTTGGTAATTCGAACCTTGTCCCGAAGTTAGTTTCTCTTTTGATGTTTCATTGTGTTACATAACAACTTGCAGATGGAATGTCATTCGGAATGTATCGGAATTCTCCAAAGGCACGAGAGTGACCTCTGTAAGAACAAGATGGCACCTTCTGAAGATTCACTTCCGGTGCACGCATGACCATACTCTTGATGATCATGGATGATGATGAGAACGGGTTTCGAGCTCATTCGCCTTTATCTCGTTCTGCTGTTCTGCTGATAAAAATAGGAAACGATATATGATGGCAAAGAATCACTCAGCACTCTGAGTATCTACCGCCGGACACGGTTCAGTAAGCACAGGGAGGTTTACTCATTTATCCCGCCGCTGATGGGAACAGCAGACGATGGCTTCAGACGAAACAATCCCGGTACAACAAGGTGGTTTGTTCGGGAAATATTTCCTCGTGTTCTCGTGGCATTCCCCAACTATTTGCCACACTGTAAAATGTATGGAAAAACTGCTTTCTGTACAGGATGCAATACCGTAATGGCATTCATGCATCCTAAAACACGCGATTTCTACTATGTGTTCATCTTCACAGAATTTGCACAGATAGGAATTTATCTATATGAAAAATGATTAAAAACTTCTTTTATAGATTTCCACAAGTGATGAAGAATTCTGATTACTAAAAATATAATGACACACTGTCCTAACAAAGACATGCACTACGTCGCTCCCGACAGCGTCACCTTGCAGCAACTCCAAATCAAACCCGATACTTACAGGTGTTATACATGTTCGTTTTGGTAGCAGAGATAATTCAATAATGTTAAGATGTGGGATTATATACATGAAAATATCCACACACACGAAATAAGCAACACTGATTAAACAAAGTATTCAACTAATGTAAACGATGTATTATCGGGTTACGAGGACATGTACACGCATACATCATCAGACACAGTGGTTAGTCATTACTCGGGGAGGTACAGAGGACCAGCGCACCTGTTCAATGTTGCTTTACAAACAGAAGTTTACTTATTAGGAAACAAGCTTAGTTGTTCTGGCCAATAACGGTTAATTGTGTAATTGCTGTCCCTACGCCACATGTGTTGCGGTCTGGGGGTGTTCATTATTTGCCTTGAAGTCTTATTGCATCGCTTTTGATGTTTG